AGATGTTAGCTCAGAGCTGGTCTTCCTCAGCAAAAAGAGGAGGATTAGCATGGATGTTAGCTCAGGGCTGATCTTCCTCACAAAAAAAAAAAAAGATGTCAACAGCCTTCACAATCTTGTCTACTAACAGAGCATTTTTATTTATTTATTTTGCTGGGAAAGATTTGCCTTGAGCTACCATCTGTTGCCAGTCTTCTTCTTCTCTTGTTTTTTTCCCTCCCCAAAGCCCCAGTACATAGTTGTACACTCTAGTTGCAAGTCCTTCTAGTTCTTCTACGTGAGCCACTGCCACAGCATGGCAACTGACAGACAGGTGGTGTGATTCTGCACCCAGGAAACGAACCCGGGCTGCCGAAGTGGAGCATGCCAAACTTTAACTGCTAGGCCATCAGGGCTGGCTTAACAAAGCATTTTTAAAATGACACAAATACCAATAAAAAACACCAACCACTTCCTGGGCACTATGACATCTTCTTTCGCCTTCACATCATTAGACACCGACCTCCATTCCTCAAAGAGAATGTGCTTAATGTGAAATTACAAGGGACTGAGCTAGCGCCTACATGTGTGAAATACACAGATATTGATCTCAGGCTGTCTACTTTTCCTTACACTAAGTTTTCGGTTCCTTTCTCTCACTTGAGTCCATAAGTCCTGCCTTCAATTCCCTAACTGGCTAGCTTGTTCCCCCTCCCTCCCAAATTTAATTTGGTCTATCAGACACAGTGGACTTTTCTTATTAACCCATAGCTTTTGATGTTTGTAAACAGTTTGTGAATATTGGGCTCTGATATAAACTCTGTTCTAAAACAGCACAAGCATTTTATAAAATCCTGAAAATAATTTAATTAAAGATAGGTGCATGCCAATTAATTAATATAAAAACATAAAGAAAACTAGAAGCTTAATCCATATACCCTGACTACATCTGACTTTGGAAATTCAAAGGAAAATCAGAACCTCTGACAGCATAAATACAAATTTGTTCAACATGAGACAGTCCCTAAGCTCCCCGGCTGGTTTTCTGTCCACAGTGTAATAACCACAACTCTGCCAATAAATAAAGGCATAGGTGTCGTTTCTCCCTTGTTTGAACGTAAATTAAGATGTTTGGTACTAAAATAATTCTAGGAGAATACTTCTGTGTCCATTTCAATCTTCACTGTCCCTTAGCCAGAAGTTTAAGACCTATTATTTTAGATAAAGTTACAAAGAAGAGCTAAGCCTTCAGGCTGAAATTAAAAATAAACTATAACTTGAGAGAGAATTTATTTTTATCCTCTCAGAATTATGATGAATGAGGATAAGGCTAGAGGACTGGAGGAAACAAAGGTATAATTATTTCCTGTTATTATTCAAGAAATTTACAAGGAAGACAGTTGAAAAATGACTGAATTTGAAGCAAAACATACACAAGAAAGGAAAAATGGGTAGTGACTGACCAATGTACTATAATTTAGGTAAATTATCTTCTCTCGTCTGTATGAGATTCATCCCTGGAAATTTTTAACTACTTTTAGAAAAGAAATTGCAATTTAAAAATTCCAAAAAATGGCTAGAATTTAATTTTTTATAAGGAAATAAAACCAATTAGAAATAGAAATATTTTCACACTATTAGTATACGGCGTATAAGACAATGTAACAAATCTACTCATAAAAACATTCCCTCTAGAATGCTAAATGAACATATTAAGAGGAGAGGCCTCTAAGAAAGCAACATTGGGATGTCATGGAAAACACGTGGGAGCTGGGGCACATTTATGTCACATAGAATGTAAATCTCTCACTATTATTAACTCTTCTAAAAATACTTGAAGTTTTGCATTTTTTTTTCTTTTTTGCTGTATGATTTAATTTCCTTTAAATATGTGAAATTCCAAGGTTTGGGACTTTTATTAGTGAGATAGGGCCATTTTTCTTTTTCAAGGAACACACTCAAAAGTTAAATCAACTAGAGAATTAGATTTGCTATGCACATATTTGTTTTAATGCCAATTTTCTTTTGGTTACTTTGTCATGAAGTGACATCCCACTACGTAGAAAAATTTAAATTACAGCGTAATGTTACAGACCTAACACTGCACCGTATCCCACGGAGTTTTCAACAAGTCACAGAACTACTAATGGTTTTAGATTTCAAGAAATATAGAAGACAAAAGTCTATATGAAAATTACGAGTTACTATTGGTTTACATAACCTCTCTACCTCTTTAAAATATGAATTAAACATCCACGCATCTTGGATTATAAAGATTGGACTATGCCACTGCAACAGAGAGGGAAAACTATAACAATAAAAATGATGCGGTAATAACTGGAAAATAAGATCTTGAGGTATAATTTTAAAAGTTCTTCTAATATTATGGCAAAATAACTTCTACAACATGAAGCTCTGACCACAGAATATTTACTGAGATGGTTCTTTTGATCATCTTATTTCTAGCTCCATAAACTTGATGAAACAAAAACATGAAGAAAGTGTCTGTCTTAGCATAAAATGGAAATGTATATGTATGCTTCCTGAGAACAGAACCAAATTCTTATGTTTTCAATAAAGCACTAATACTAAGAAAAATACTTTGAACCCCAGAATAAAAGGTTCACAGGAAACGCAGAAGCTACCAAGACACTTACTTGTTCACGGGAAGCTGACCCCAGAGCTCAAATTGGACAGCACTTCCCGAGATATCAGATAATGGTAGCCTAAAAACCAGGTTTTGTGGCAAAAAGAGAAAAAGACCTCAGCAATACAACTTCTGCTAGCGAAGGTGAAGCTATAGCAGATTTATTTTTTCCCTCCCATGAACTCCTAGAAATAATAGAGATAAAAATGCAGAAAAATATTCTGATCTAAAAAATGAAAAGTGCCAGAGTAACAACAATAATTTTAAATGAGAATGATACAAATTGCATAAAGTCTCTCAATGAGGACAAGCAAGTCCATGGTACACAGAACAGGTGATGTCCACTTCACTGATTACCAAGTTCTCTGTTTACATTCAACTTCCATCATTTACTCACACTGCTTCTGAACATCTGTGAAGTCTCGTGGTGCGAGGAACACGTAAAAAGAGCCATCACACCGAGCTCACACACAAAGCAATCAATAAAAAAAAGAGACTGAGTTGATTTTTTTAATCACTCATATGAGATTAACCAATTTGTGGATGGGGATAATTAATACAGTCATGTTAGAAGAAAGGATGATTATCATGACTTTTATCCAACTGATCAGAAGGTAAAGCTAAAAGCTTTTTTTTTTAATTATTTTTTTTTGTGAGGAGGACCAGCCCTGAGCTAACATCCAATGCCAATCCTCATCTTTTTTGCTGAGGAAGACTGGCCCTGGGCTAACATCCGTGCCCATCTTCCTCCACTTTATATGGGACGCCGCCACAGCATGGCTTAACAAGCGGTGTGTCAGTACGTGCCCGGGATCCGAACCGGCGAACTCCGCGCCACTGGGCCAGCCCCTAAAAGCTTTTTTAAAAAGATGATCTGTCTACTGAAATGGTTCTTCTGATTTCTGTACACTGCCTTGCACACGGGCTGGCACACAACAGGTGCTCAAATAAGTGTTTTTGGAATAGATCTAAGGAGTCGGGACTGCCTTCGTCCGGGACAAAGCAAACGGGAGTTAAAATGAACCCAAAAATACTAAGATTGGATGAAAAGGACAATCCTTACATTGAGTAAAGACATTCCTTCTGAGCTGTCCTAGCAGACATCAGCAACAGTTGTAAGTAATACAGTGGGTAATTGGGGTGAAACATTTTTGTGCAAATATATTTCAAGAAAGCATACTGAAAGATTGGTTTTTAAAACACAAATCAGCACTTCCCTTCAAGGTACGTCACTGACTTTCTAAAAGAGACTATTAGCAAACCCTGAATTTAAAAACAGCGAAAGCAAAACCACAGGGCAAAGGGATGAGGCGTCTTCTTACCTGTCGGTAGTGGCATCTCTTGTTGAAATAATTCTGGATTAAATATTGTATGATTCAAAGAATCCAAATGAAACATCTGTAAAAAAGAAAATTTCAATCATTATTTTTCCAACACTGTATTAAAAATTTGAAGTTGGAACACCTAACACTTAATTACAGGAGCGAAAACTACAGCCAAAAACAAAAATCTGAAAATATTTCAAATCAGGATTTTGAAAATACCTTCATGAGACCAGCTAAGTTCTCATGTGTACGGCCCTTTTCACAGGCTCGGGCTGTTTACGTGACAAAGGGATGGAGAAGAATGACCACAGAGGCAAGGACCTGGTACAGCCTGCCTACCAGTCTATCTTCAGGGCCAGTGTATGTTGATCACACAGTGGATACTCAATAAACAATTGTTGAATGAATGATCTGAAGCCTGTCCTCTTTAGAAATAGAAGTATAAGAATATAATCCTAGAAATCTATATTTCTTTTATGATGGTAAATAAACCACTTCTCTAGCCATCTAACTTTCAAGGCCTGAAAGAATTAGACAGCAGCCCTAGAACGATTTACAGAGAAACTGAAAATATAACTTACAGACCAAGGAGCAGATAACTGAGCACTGAGTTCCCTCACGTTTTTTTTCCTACCTTTATTTACCTAACACAATGCAAAATACCTGGAATATAGTGGGTGTGGTAGGATGAATAATGGTTCCCCACAAGACACTGATATCCTAATCCCCAGAATCTGTGAATACTATCTCATACAGAAAAGGGATTTTGCAGATGTTCTTAAGGTAAAAATATAGAGATGGGAGATTATCTTGGATTACCCAGATGGGCCTGATAAGAGTGATGCAGGAGATCAAAGTGAACAGTAGGAGATGTGACAATGGAAGCAAGAGGTCAGAGTGATGGAAGGGGTCACAAGCCAAGGAATGTAGGTAGCCTCTAGAAGCTCAAAAAGGCAAGGTAATGAAAGCTTCCAGAAGGAGAGCAGCCCTGCCAACACCTTGACTTTAGACTTCTGACCTCCGGATTACAAGAGAATAAATTTGTGCTGTTTTAGGCTATCAAATTGGTGGTAATTTGTTACAGCACCAACAGAAAACTAATACAGTGGGCATGCAATATATTTTGATGGAATTATATTCTATCTTGATAAATTGCTAATAATTGCTAATCCCAAGAGAAAATTTTTCCTTCCACTTACTTTATCCAGGACTTTAAATTCATATTTCTGAGCTTGGTATTTGTTTCAAGCTAAATAAGTCATTTGTTTGAAATGTCTGTGGACAACACAGAAACCAATTATATTTCATTTTTTTATGATATGCTCATTATTAAGTGTGTTGGAGCCGCTATTTAAAAACAGTAACCAGTTTTACAGTCTACTCCTTTTCTTGGTTAGTATATTATTGGAAGTTCTTGAGTACCTAAGAACCTAGTATGCCTAGTTAAATCAAGAGTAACAAACACAGTGTTTAAATAAAGAAAACTCCACATACAGTTGTGAGGTATGCAAATTTTCAATTGAGGAACAATAAATGTGCTCCACTTCAATGCTTAGGAGTAAGTTCAGCTACATTATTCATTGTTTGCTGAAAGGGAAATATAGGAATGAAAAAAACATGTTATTGTAAAAAGGGGCCCCACCTTACAGAAAGTATTCTCAGAGCAGAGAGTCTCAGAGTAAAAAGATGAACTAGCAGACAAAAACCTTTCCTCCGGTCCTGAAGGTGGCTGAAATGACTGGTTAGGGGCAAAAGCACAGATTTTAGGAGACAGACACACACCCTAACAGACAAAGAAGAGGGAAGCTGGGCGCTGCTGCAGCCTGCATTGTGTACTAGGTCAGGAGTAGGAAGCACATTCCAGAACACACTAAAACCCTGAGGACATCTCACTGAGGACATGCACACTTCATAAAACGTATACCATTAGGCTTGCGACAAGGAAAAAAAACACCAAAATTCAAGGACCTCTCCCCTCAAAAATGGAAACATCAGAACATGCCCCACCCCTGCTGATGATCACAAAAATGCCACGCAAGAAAAGCTTTCGAAATGAATGTTTTCAGCAGGTTCTACTCTTGTGTGGCATAAAGGACCATCTCTTGTTGATAAGATTTCCTGTACACAGACAGGAAAGCATGGTCTAAAACCAGGCAGAAACAACCCTAATGCTGGTTAGAGTTTGCCTTTAATTGTTAGAGATAGCATATTAAAAGCAAAAGGTAACACAGGTTTTTGATAATATGAGTAGCCAAACGTCTTTCACGCTGTAATCAAAGAAAATGTTCCTAGATTTATCCTATATCACCATTTTTACAATAAGATTCAAAAGAAGCATCTTAATATGAACAGCAATACATACTCATTCTTTCCAAATCAATCAGAACATTATCGAGAGTAATGAATGCTATATAAGTCTGTTTTATTTAGAGAAGCAATACTAGATCCCTTAAAAATATTTCACTCTTGGTTTTATCTTTCTGACCGATTCTAGCATGGGTAAATTTGGGAAATCCATTTTTTAGGTTTTTGCCCTAAAGATTAAGTGTGAAATGATTACAAATCTTGGACCAGGGTGTCCTGGTACCTAGCGTCCCCTCTCCTTGTCTAGCCTGGCAAAGTACATCTTCCAAATCTCAGCTTGCACAGACTTCCTTTGGAAAGTCCTCCACAACCCTGCTCTTCCTCAAGGCAACACAGAGTGAGCCCTCTCAACATTTCTGTCCCACTCTGTGCAGACCACCACTACAGCATTTATCACCACAGGGAAACTATTCATGTCTCTGCCCCACCTATTAGAATGGCAGCTTCCTAAAATTAGGTTCTCTGTATCACTTATTTTTGTACCCTCCTTAGCCAATGTTCTGGTACATAGTAATGCCTCAATATATAGCTGATGGATAAATAACTCAGTATTTTAAATTACTTCCTAAAAATCGTTACCTTAAAAATTGAATATTGCCATTGGAATTACCCTACAGTCTGAAAATTGCTTTCAAATGGTTCATTTAATATATATATATAATATGTACAAATACAAATATAAAATATAGAGAGAGAGAGAAAGAGAAAAACAAAATATTAATAATCAACAAATATTTGTTGGATTAGTCAACATTTTTATAGGGTTGAAATTTTTCAAAGTAAATAACTAGGAGAAAAAGTAAAAAAGGACACTGGGATCTCTTCATACCACTGATAGAATAATGAACAGTTTATGCTCCCAAAGCACATTCAGTGCCCATTAAGTCTTTTCAATACCCCTGTGAGTGTGGGGCTAGCATTCCTATACTGCACATGAGAAAAGTGAGGATGGCGGGGTACGGCTAAGTGATTCCTCAAGTTTTAAGAGCTCATCAGTAGCAGTCAGCTCTCACATTACGATCTTCAAATTCTAAGTCCAAAGGTCTTTTCACTACACCAACCTGCCTCCTGATCAGATGAGTTTTAAATAAATATTTTGTGTTCCCCCGAAAAAGATATGTTCAAGTCCTAACTCCCAGTACCTGTAAACGTGACTTGACTCAGAAATAGGGTCTTTGGAGACAGAATCAAGTTAAGATGAAGTCCTACTGAAGAGTCGGCCCTAAATCCAGCCTACTGCCTTCATAAGAGAAAAGAGAGGGTGATCTGGATACAGAGACACAGGGCAAAAGGCCGCGCCTACTGGAGTGACGCAGCCACAGCCCTGTGGAATGCCAAGGACTGTCGCTACCACCAGGCTAGGGGAGAGGCATGGAAGAGAGCTCCCTCAGAACTTCCAGAAGGAACTAACCTTGTCATCACCTTGGTTTTCGACTTCTAGCCTCCAGACTGTGAGGGAATATATTTCTGCTGTTTTAAGCTACCAGGTTTGTGATGATTTGTTACAGCAGGCCTAGGAAACTCACACAGGAGTTATCACTGGATCTGGAGCACATGTGATTTTAATGCAACAATGTGTAAGACAGCAGGGTTAAGTTACTCATTTTACATGACTTGTCCTCTCTGACCTTACATGGAGGGACAGGGAAACTGCAAAAACAATTTAAAAGAAATTTTTATCAATTTTAGAGTTTTCCTGACATTTACTATTTTGTTACCTCTGTATATTTTAAAATATGAATACATTTACGAAAAATTGTCAGTGAGATTATATTATAATACTTACTTGTTCATGCCCTCCCAAATATGGATCGTCTTCTGCCATTCTGGAGCTGTGTATCAAAAAAATAAAAATTAAACCACTGTAAGACTGGAATGAACCTTAAAAATTCCATCGTGCAGGAATAAATTGTTGTATTCCAGTAAGACCAAATATAACCCTTTTTTAAAGCCCTTACACATGGTGTAGTTCCTCTTGGGAATCTAAGTCTAACAGCAGAAAGATTGCATAATCAAGGAATTACCACTTACGTATAACCTAAAGCCTTTATGTCAAGCTCACAACAGTGTCCTAGAGTTTGGTACAACTCATCTTCATCCTCCGCATAAAAATTATGCACAGTTGGATTCTTAGAGGCCATTTCTTTTTGTCACCATCTAGACCTCAAGGATTTACAGTCTTAGCTCTTTGTGGAGATTATTTTTCAACGCTTCATGATTCTGCGATGCTCCTAGAACTGTCTCCAAGCTCTCTAGACACTGCTTGAGTTGAGAAACTCAGAGGGGTCATTCTGCTGTCAGTCTTTGCACAGCACGAGGGGAGGACGCTGCAGTGTGCCGCTCAGGCCTCCACTGCAGCAGGCCTTCCCTGCCACTGCCAACGTGGTGTAGAAATGCTAGGAGAGTAAGAGGGCAATCAAAAGACACAAAAAGAAGAGCCCTTATTATCCAGGCTCTAGTCTCAAATTTAATCAACCCCAGCCAAATAATAACACATTGCAGGCCCTTGCCATCTTCTACTACCCAGAGGCCCTGAGAAAAGTGAAGAACCACATGGTCAGATAAAAATAGCATCTAAAATCACATATCATTTTGGATTTACTTACTTAAGAAATACACTTATCATTATTTTAAATATAGGTTAATTTTGTTTAAATTGACAGATCAAATTTTACATATATTACACGAAAAATTAGAAGATTAAAAAAACCAAACAAAGCTGAAATCAGATATTAGTTCCTGAGGCCAATTTTTTTTTTTTTTCCGCTTGAGGAAGATTCACCCTGGGCTAACATCTGTGCCAATCTTCCTCTATTTTGTATGTGGATTGCCGCCAAAGCACGGCTGATGAGTGGTGTAGGTCTGTGCTCAGGAACCGAACCTGTGAATCTGGGCCGCCAAAGCAGAGCACACCAAACTTAACCACTATGCCATGGGGCTGGCCTCTGAGCCAAATTTTTCTTTTTTTTTTTTTTCCCCATGAAGTCTACAATTCACTCGATGGCACCTGGAACTGAGAATCTTAGTTGTCATCCTCCACCATAGTAATGGAGCTGTCACTGGACAATGACCACTCAGCAGGAGTGCACCCCACACTTCCCTGGAGTTAGGGATGGCCATTAGATGAAATGCTGGCCAGTGGAACATGCCACTTTCAGGTCTGGGCTTAAGGTGCTGACATGCTTTTTCCTCCATGTCTTTGTTTTTTCTCTTTCCCACTGGATAAAACCTAGACACACAGAAGAGCCAGCTTCTACCACACAGATGATGATGAATGGCAGCTAACATGGTGGTGACATGAGAAAGAAAGACACTTCTTTGTTCTAACCCAGTGTGTTATTGGGTCCCTTTGCTAAAGTAGCTTGGCTCTTACCCTAAAGAAGATATCACCTAACACTCCAAAGAGGACTCTGACTTCCAATGAAATCCTCTCCTGCCAGAGCCCTGGGGGACTGGGGAGAGTGAGAAAGCCTGGTGAGGATGCTAGTGGGACACAGAGTAGTGTCCAACCTCCACACAAGGGAAGAGGGCAGCCCTGAGTCCTATAAGAACAAGAAGTCCATGCAGATTTGCAAGGAAACATTTGTCTAAAACAAGAAATTATTGATTGAAGATTTACAAACAGCTGTAATCGATTAAGACAAGCAGTTAAAAAAGGGAAAATTGACCTGATACAGTCAAGAGGAATTGTCATTAGACATTCACGAGTTCTGCCACTGTTGGGTGTGTGACTTTGGATACACAACCCCATTCACTGTGGCCTCGGTTTCCTCATCTATAAAATGAGAGATTCTGATGGGATGGACCTTTGAAAAGAGGAGAATTTTGTGCAGCTCAGAATGTTAGCTAATAAATGCTTTATTCAAAGAACAAATCACCTAAATCATAATTTTTTGTAAACTTGGATTTTATACATACTTAGGTACATGTCTATATTAAAGAACCATTAGCATAATGTTCAGTTATATGACGAACACTACTAAAATACTGTGTTACATTGAAATAGAGTGCTGAAACCAGTTACAACATTCCACGTCAAAAATTCTTATTCTTAGAGGGGCCGGCCCCGTGGTGTGGTGGTTAGGTGCACGTGCTCTGCTGCTGGCGGCCCGGGTTCGGATCCCGGGCACGCACTGATGCACTGCTTGTCCAGCCATGCTGTGGTGGCGTCCCATATAAAGTGGAGGAAGATAGGCACAGATGTTAGCCCAGGGCCAGTCTTCCTCAGCAAAAAGAGTAAGATTGTAATGGCTGTTAGCTCAGGGCTGATCTTCCTCACACACACACACAAAAAATTGTTATTCTTAGAACACCACAGGAGCCCAAATTTCCAAGAAAAATATTAAGACCATTTTTTTGGCTTTAGGTGACTGTTGACTTTAACAAGACTGTTGACTTGTTAAACTGACAGAGCCTGTTCAGTACTTGTATTACACTACATAAATTTATATATTTAAAAATATATACGTGCATATATGTATTTTAAACCTGTGAATAGTTTCCTAACCTTTGAATGGATGGATTTAATATAAAGCAGCCCTCACCCTAATTTAAAAAACTCAACTAAACCTACTTCATTGGAACTGATGTGGGGTTACTGTCGTGATCACTACTGTAGTTAAAACCTGAATGCAGATCTCTGAATTGTGGGCACTGCATAAACACCCAATCACAGTCCTCCTCCAACATCTCCCTGGGACTTAGGCATGAATGTGTGACAAAAGATCCGTTTTAACAGCCCAACAGCCCAAGAGACACTGGGTGATGGTTAAAATCTGAACACCTACAACCTTTGTGAGACAGTTCAGTTCATGGTGAAGAGCTGAGGTCACAGTAACCCTAGAGTGATATCAATGTTAATTCATAATTTAAAAATAAACTGTCAAAAGAAACCAAGAATTATTTGGAAAGGATGAATCACTGAGTAATATTTGCATTAATTGTAAAAGCAGGTTTTATTTCAAAATTTTGAAATACCCACTAAGCCTCTGGAACTGGAGGATGAGGAAAGACCAGGGAAAGCCCCTTCTGCCCCCCTCCTCCCCCAGCTGTCCCCTCACTTTCCCTTCGCACAGTTCTGTGCTTTTGAGGAAGGACCATGAAACAGAAAGGGAGACACTGGGTTGACTGGTGAGAAGATGGGCCTTAGCTCTGCATCTCTCCCCTCCAACGGTGAGGTTTTCAGGGAAATTTTCACACGAGGAAAGAGAAATAGAAAATGTAGCTAGCTGGCAGTAAATAAAATATCTTCTCCAGTAAATTGTTTGTATTTCTCACAAGAGGCACAACATTATAACTGGCTAAGTTCTGGATATGTGACAAGTTCTATGTGAAATGCCTCATAGTTTATTTTCTGCACATCTGTGACAATCCCACCACTGACATCAAAGGCAGCACAAGGTGCTCTTAGTGAAGGCAGTAGGACCAAGGCCACAGGGTTGGATCATTAAGGATGGAGTTGGGGGCACTCCCCTCCTTGTACCTGGGTAAAGTTTCTAGGATCAGATATAGTCACACTTTTTGACCACGGCGCACTGTAAGAAAACATATTCTTTTTATTCCATTAGATTTCATTAAAAAAAAAAAACTTTTCAAATCCATTAAAATGCTTTCGTGATGCACTAATGGGTCACAATATGCAGTTTGAAAAACAGAATTTTAGGTGCCATCCAGAGGGTGCAGTTGGGAATCAGAGAGAGAAAGTGTCTCTATTTTCAAGATTATATTCAGCCACAACAGAAACCACTCAGGTGTAATTATAATGCCTTATCTTGGATAGCAGGGAGGATGAAATTACAAGAAAAAGAGTGAGTTTTCACCATTTCTCTGGTGATGATAAACTGATAAAGAGAAAGGACATGCTGGAGTCTCTTTCCACACAGGAATGTTTTGGAAGAAGCTGGCTGTAAGGTGTGTGCACATGTGCACTACATACAATGTGAAACACGCCAGTGAGAGCATCTTTTGACCTTGCAATTCCACTTGCAGGAATCTGTACCAAGGAATTATATGAGCAAGTGTGCAAAAAAATAAGTACACAGATATTCGCCACAGCAAAAAACTGGAAACAATTTAAATACCCTTTGATAGCAGATTGTTTAGCTATAATTATGCTACATTCATACAGTCATATATTATACAACTGTTAAAAATAATAATTCAGATCTATAACATGGAGACTTTTACTCCGTAAGTTGTACATCTCTATGTTTTAATTTTATAGTTCAATTACGTAATTGGAAATATATTTTTTTAATAGTGAAAAAAAAGAAAATCAAACCCTGTCCTGAATTTAAAGTTGAACTCTGATTTCTTTAACAATTAATGACATGTGGTGAATAAAACATGAAGTATGAATGAGTAAAAAATTCCTAAGCACTACTGGAATCCTCTTCATAATAAATAAAATAGAAAAAATTTAACTTTAAAGAGCTGTTTATTTACATTTTTCTGATGATATATTATTGGCTTGGTGATAAAGAAAGATTAATGGCAGGTTTAGTTACTTTTCTCAGAGTAGCTGATTTTTGAAAGTTTTTGAAAAAGAATCAATATTTGTGTCCTACCACATTTAGATATGTATAAACTCATTTTCCATGTTTTTCTTCTCTTTCATCCCTTTTCTGCTTCTTACTGTTTCATTTGGGTACAATGTGACCAATTAACACGTAGAATAGCTACCAACTAAGTACAAATACATTGTGCCTAGAGCTGGTATGGGATCAAGTCCCTGTTCACAACGGAATGCCCATCTAATAGGGATGGCAGATACATAACCAACATTCAACTATTAATTCATGCAAAGCTTATTATTAGCACAGTGACTGATACA